GCATTGGAATGCAGAACGGTTCCCCGAAGGCAAACACATTCCATAACTGCTACAATCGCCAAACTAACCAAATTTGGCCTTTTGAACTACCCACGGGAATTACCGCTTACTTACAAATTTTCAGTAGGGTTATTTGTCTAATCTCCCTGCCTTTTGTACTTTGTTTAGATTTTTCCCAGCTGGTGTTAGTGATATCCGTAGAAAATGTCTCGCAGTGACCTGCCCGAGGTTTGGGCACACCCCCCTACATGCACGCGTTCGCCGTTGGTCGGGTGGGGGTTAGCGACGATATTAAAGCTGCCTTCAGTGTCTTCTCCCAAGGTTTGAGTACGCGACCCAGATATACGCGTTCGCCGTTGGTCGGGCGGGGGGGTTAGCGATGATATTAAAGCTTATTTCAGTGTCTTCTCCCAAGGTTTGAGTACGCGGCCCAACTTGCCCTCGTAACTTTTTCATTGGACATTAATATTGGGTTCTAATTTCTTCCCTGGCATGCCCCGCCCGTACCCTCTCCGAATATCATGCGTTCGTCAGCCTGCGGGGTGCGCTTCACACTTTCCCCAGACGACCCCACGACACAATCCTAACAACTTCGGCAATGAGTCGACATTCTGGGTGATTCTAAAACCACGACCCAGGCGAACAGGTGCATTAGAAAGGATGCTCAAAAACTCAAAATTTAGGTAAATGCGTTTAAGAAATATCTTCTTTTGAAGGTTTTGGTAAGCACGTAGAACATAAGCCTTATTTATGGACAATCGACGGAAACCATTGAAGGTCGAAAAGCGTTAACCACCATTTCAAGAACAATGTAAACCTCGTCGTAATCAAAACCCCGAAATAATTACAAAGAAATGTGAAGGAAGGAAATTTTTCTTAGATTACACAGAACGGTACGTTTACGATTGCACCTGATAATTCCATTTAAATTTATTAGCCACTAATCGGCATGTCTGCACGTGAGCTTACGAAATTTCTTACTCCTGTGACCTTCAAATCGACGCAATCAAGCGAAAATCAGGTTGCCTTCGTCTACCGTGATTCCAACAAACAGAAGAGACAACCAGCAAATTTCGTGAAAACATGTTGGAATACATACTTGAACTTTGGAATATTCGGTATAGGCCATACGTTAAGTTGCCTGTCCTATGGAAACACATGTACCCGATTATTATACAAAAGGATTATTTTCCAACGAAATTCTACTTGTGTTGCTCATACTTACTCGTTTTGCATGAACAGGCTTTCTCTACATTTAAAATTTAAGTTTACCTCTTATGTCCGAAGTTCACTTTTTCGGAATTTTCCGCTTTTCGAAAAAAGCTGATATTTGTAAACAACGTTATATTACTTGATAAACTGCAATATGCTTTATTTTGAAGAACGATCATTACTGTATAGCTGTAAGAATTTGGGGGACGCAACGTGAGCAGTGATTATGCAACAGGGATGTTCTTGTAAAAAGCCATGGGACAGGTACTATATATGATGCGTGATGAACAAGATAAACAGTACACTAACGAGTACTGTCAGTAAGGATAGGCAGGTGCTGGAATGCCAGTAATCAAAAGATGGCGAGAGATTCGAATCTGACTATGGGTTGTTACAATAGATCAGTCTCCCTCGCTCCTAGGTCAACAAGTACCGGGAACTCAATGGAGGGTCACCAGTACTGTAACCAAATTACTTCAACAACAACAAAGTACGACAACTATAAGAAGCCCCCACTCCGCGCGCCTCACGCAGTTGCTTGCAAATGCGCATGCACCGATGTAGGCCTACGCAATGCCGGTCTGGCCAATCACCTTCAGGGTGATGATGGGAATGCCGCCATTCCCACGACGAGTAGGCCACATAAAAGCGTCGCGAGCTACCTCACTGCCCGACCAGCGATGTCTCCTCAATTTTGATTGGTCTAGGTCTCAGACACTGCCTCTCACGTGAAAAATTAAATAGACGCTGCCTTTGTGTGAGAACGACTTGCTCTAA